GGTTTCATCTGTGGCCCCCGCCCCTTCAGGTTTTGCTCTGTTTCGAGCCCCAATTTTATGACTGTTGCCGCTACTACTGTGCTCTCATCTGCTTGTTGCCTGCAACGCTTAGAAAGCGCGCAAACTTATCCCTGAAGCATGTTTGTGTCCTCCTTGAGCTTCAGATGCGCAAATGCATAGTTGTTCGGAAGGGAGTGTGACCCTGGGCCGTTGTACTTGCTCATGATGCATGCACCAGTGCCGGCACTTTCGCTTCTCTCCTACGCTCTACAACGTCATGCACGGCATCAAATGGGCTCTGTAATAACTTGCCCCATTTGGCTCCATACCGGAGAGAGCTTGAAGCGCAGGTGATGCAAGCGAGTGCGCACCTGCGAGCGAAACAAGACCCACAGCCAAGCCTTGATCCTGCAACTGGGGTATTGTGATATATGTTTGATATGTCACCACATTGAGCATACCATCACGATTTACCTACGGGCAGTCTTCTCCACCGTAGTACGACCAGTGCGGAGCAGCCTCGTTTTGAGCAGATGGAAGAGCCTGGTTGTTCTTGGGGTTGAATCTGGCCCTATAAGGTTGCGCAACTGGGTTGCCGGGCGGCGCAGTCGTCATGATGGCGGCGGTCGCAGCGCAGCAGTATGCGCCGCTCGATGAGGCGGGAGAGGCTGGCCAGGTGCGCTCCGACGCTTCCAAAGGCAGATGCCATCCTGCATGCTCTGAGCCAAAGATATTCGTGCTAATCCTCAATCAGGAGGGCTGATCAGCGCGATCGGCGGCTGCTTGGTCCTCTCCCTTCATGTGCCTTAAAACCCATTCTTCTGCTGCATTGCAGGCCGACGGGCCCCTTGAGTTTGGATTCTTGCCGCGGCAGGTGGTTGTTGATATCAATGACCTTGGAAACTGGAAGGTACGTGCGCCTCCAAGTCGCAACAGCATGGGCCCAAGCGGCAGCCGCCCCTCCTGGGAATGCGGCGGCCAAACGTCCGCCGCTCTGATTCGCAGAGTGCTTGTCTGCTCGCATCCTCATTTTGCCAATCAACAAATGAGATAAAGCGTCCTGCAAATCCTTGCATGTGCAACTCGCAGAAGCGGGCGGCCGCCATGGAGCGCCTCGCGCGTGCGCTCGCCTCTGTCCCGGACCCCGGCGCGCTTCTGCCGGCGCTGCAGCCGCTGTGCGCGTTCCTACTGGGCCTCCTGGCCGACCACAATTTCAAAGTAGCTGTCGGCGGCATGGCGGCGCTCGGCGATCTGGCGGAGGAGGTCGGGCGCCCCATGCAGTCGCAGCTGAGGTGCGCGCAGTGGCGCCGCATGCAGCGCGCATGCAGCGCCCATGCAGCGCGCATGCAGGCACATGCGTCAGCGCGCGAAACCCCCTCCTGTTGTGCATGTTCTGATGCGCCTACATGCACGCATGTGCATGGACCCCAGAATCAAAGCTGCTGGGACGCTGACCCAAGAGTGTCGCGCCGCTCGTGCCTTCCAAAATTCTGTAGTGCTGCGGTGCCCGTGCTTGCTGCCAAGCTGGGCGACCCGAAGCCTCAGGTCCAGGCCGCCGCCATGCGCTGCCTGCGCCGACTGATGGGCGCGGCCGGCCCGCAGCCGGTGCTTGACCTGCTGGCGCCGCTGGCGGTGTCGTGCGGCGGCGGGGGCGAGGGCGGCGGCGGCGGCAGTGTGGCGGGGGCGCTCGTGAGGGAGCATGTGCTGAACGCGCATACCATGGTAGGCGATGCCAACCAAAACCCATTATTCCAAACCCTAGGGGTCTACCCTGTAGAAATGCAGAGCAACAGAGGCCATTTTCTTGAAAGTTGCAAAGCAGCCCCCAGCTAAGCTGCGTTTGTGCCAGCACAGCATTGCAGCGGCGCTGCCGTTCCCACACGCACCCTTGCGCCTCCCCATCTCACTCTGCAGGCGGTCCTGTCCTTTCCACCCAGCGCCCTCGACGCGCCGCGCGTCGTGGCAACCTTGCTGTCATGCTTCGCGCCCTCCCCGGCCGTCTCCCGCAGCAGCAGCAGCAGCTCCCGGGGGTCCCTGGGCGGAACCACAGGCGGTGGCGGCGGCGGCGGCGGCGGCGGCGGCGCGTGCGGGACGCCCGAGGAGCGGGAGCGGCTGCAGAGAGTGGCGCTTGAGGGGTTTGCGGCGCTGAGCGCGCGGCTCGGGCCCGCGGTGCTGCAGCCTCTGCTGCGGGCGTCAGGCGCGAGCGAGGTCGAGGTCACTGCGGTGCTGCAGCGCACGCTGCGGGGGCAGCTGCCGGTGCTAGGGGCGGACGGGATGGTGCGGCACGCGTTTGAGGGCGATGCGGCCGGCGCCAGCGCCGAGGGCAGCGGGGGCAGCAGCGGGGGCGGCGGCGGCGCGCTCGGTGGTGGCAGCTTCGGCGGCAGGGGCGGCAGCAAGGGGGATGGCGTTGGTGGCAGCGGTGCGCCGTCGCCCATGGCGTCGGTGGGTGCTGGGGCTGCGCTGTTCGGTTCGCAGCAGAGCGCAAGCATGTCCCCACTCTCGAGCAACAGGCCTGCAAGCGGCAGCCTGACCCAGCACCAGCAGCAACAGCAGCAGCAGCAGGAACAGCAGCAGTCCAATGACCTGCGGCCCCCGTCCGCAGGCCGCCGCGCGCCCGCCGCCGCCGGCGGCGCCCTTGCAAGGGCCGCCGGGGCGCGCAATGCGGTCAGCTGCCTTGGCGGCGCGGCTGCAATTGCGGCGGCGGCCGCGGCCGGCGCCATGGAGTCGTCGTTGCGGACACAGTCTTCGCCATCCAAGTTCCTGGCAGATCTGGAGGCCCACCACAGATCACTGGAAGACGACGAGGCGCGGCGGCAGCAGCAGAGCCAGCAGTGGCAGCAGCAGGCCGCCGCGCGGCGGCCGCCTCCCTCGGCACAGCAGGCGCCGCGGCACCACCAGCAAGGGGACGGGGGCGCCGGTCTTGGCGTTGCCGATCGCGGGGCAAGCCACGAGGAACGAATCAACAGCCTGTGGGACGTTTCAGGTGGGCCGTGGCAGGTCGGCTGTGGACCAAGCCTCGTGGATTGCTGTGTGGCCGCCGCTCCATGCATTGCTGTGAGGCAGGAAGCCCCTGCTGTTTGCATCAAACTAGGTCCACTGTCTGAGCGCCCTTGGTGCACTGATCGCACTTCCCCTGGACTTCTGCCGCTGCTTGCTCCGTGGCGCTCTCGCAACCTGCAGCACGCGCGTCTGCCAGCAGCGCGCGGCCGCTGCGCACGTCGCACGACAGCCTGCCCTCAGAGCGCAGCACCGGGTCCGCCGCGGCGCTGGCGACAGCAGCGGCGGCCGCCGCTGTGGGAGCGGCGGGCTCGGGTGGCGGCGGTGGTGGCGGCGGCGGCGGCGGCCCCGGCTCGGCAGGCGGCGGCGGGGCGAAGGCGGTGGCGCACTGGACGCCCCATGGCTCGATTGGCGGGGGCTCGATTAGCGGCAGTTCCATCGGCGGCTGGACGCCACGTGAGCAACGGGCCGAACTGACTGCGCATATGCAGTCAGTTCCACCCTGCATGATTGACGTGCCACGCGCAATTTAGGGAGGCGAATTCAAACATATGTGTTTGATTGAAGCCACCTGCTGAATCCCCTCCCCGTCCTGACGGCCCCCGCCCTGCAGCTGCTGCTCTGTTCACCGCGGACTGGACCTCGGGCCCGCCCGCGCCCCACAGCCGCCTCGGCGACGCGGGCGCCCCCAGGCCGCACGGCGCCGCGGCCTACCCCAATGTCCTGACGACGGCGGCATCCACCATCAGCAGCGCCGCGCGGCTGTCGTCCCTGGGAGCGTCTGATCACGGCCACGCAGTGGAGTGGACCCCTCCTCAGCTAGCAACGGCGCCCCTCCCGCAGCAGCAGCAGCAGCACCAGCAGCAGAGTGACCGCCAGGGTGCGAGGCAAGGGCAGCGGGCAGCGGACTGGCAGCTGTGGACTGCGCCGCCGCCAGCGGAGCACGGCCTTGGCGCGGCGGACTGGCCGCTGGGGGCGGCGCCGCGCCCAGAGGCCGAGTGGCGGCTCAAGGCGGCGCTGCTGCAGCAGCAGGCGGCGGCGCAGCTGGCGGCGAACAGCAGCGCGCTCGCCGCCGTGCAGGAGCTGGAGCAGCAGCAGTGGCAGCAGGACAGCGACCAAGGGGACGAGCAGCATCAGCGGGAGGAGGGGGGCGAGGCAGACGAGAGCATTGCGGGCGATCAGGCAGCGGCAGACGGGGAGCTAGGTTCACAGTCCGAAGACGCGCAGTCCGAAGCAGATGAGTTGGGGGATGAGGAAGAGGCAACGGAGGAGCAGGAACATGAGCAGTCCGATCTTGACGAAGAGTGGCAACCGGCAAATGATCATCCTAACCACCAGAAGCAGCAGCAGGAGCAGCAGCAACAGCAGCAGCAGCCACGGCGGCAGCAACAGCAGCAGCAACAACAGCAGCAATTGCAGCATGAGCATCAGGAGCAGAATGAATATGCTCCTGTGCCAAATGTTTATTCGATGCAGGGCCAGCAGACGTATACGCAGCGTTCAACCCAGCAGCAGCAGCAGCAGCAGCAGCAGCAGCAGCAGCAGCAGCAGCCATCCCAGGCGTCGCCACACGTCACTACGACCGAGCGCGCGGTCGCCACCTCGGGCCCCGCTTTTGGCGCGCCTGGTTGCGCCGTCGACGCCTGGGCGGACACAACGAGCGGGCTCTCGACGGAAGGGGACGGCCTGGCCTGCCGCCGCGAGACGCTTAGTCCCAGCAAGGGCGAGCGCCTGGCGCTGCTGAAGCGCCTGCAGCAGGAGAAGCGCGGCAGCACCGCGGCGGGCGGCAGCCGTGGCTCCCCGGCGGCCGGCGGCGGGGGCGGCCTCGGCTTCGAGGCGGGGGCGAACCCTGGCAGCGGCCCGGGCAGCGCAGGCCGCGCGGGCGCCGACTCTTGGGACAGTTCCTGGGACGCGCCGCCCCTGCCGCCTGGCCATTCGGTGCGGCACGCGCCCGAGGCTTCGCTCGCCGCCGCGCCGCTGCTGCAGTGGCAGCTGCCCGGCGCGCCGCGCGGCGGCAGCGCGCCGAGCGCGCCGGGCGCGGGCGGCCAGCGGAGGCCCTCCGACGGCGGCGGCTACGGGGACGAGTGGGCGGGCGCGTCGACGAGCGGCCGGCAGCCGCCGCCGGGCAGCGGCGGTTTGAATACCCACAGCGGCCTGAATTGGAACCTCGGTAGGGCCCCGCCCGCGGGCAGCCCGCACCGCGGCGCCGCCGCGACAGGGCAGGCTCTTCCTCGCGGCTCCCCGGGCTCGGTGCCAACATGGCAGCCGAAGGACTCACGCGGCGGCGGTGGTGGTGGTGGCGGCGGCGGCGGCGGAACGGGGTTGGGAGGTGGGGGTGATTATGAGGAGGAGGCTGCGGTGGCGAGCGGACCTGGTGGGGCGGGCAGCCCCCAGGTCAAGCAGTCGTCGCTGCTGGCGCGCCGGCGGTCGGGGGGCGAGGTCTCCCCTCTGGTCACCTTGTCAGGTGTGTGTGTGTGTGAGGGGGCTAGGGGCCGGGCAAGAGATGGGGCTGGAAACAGGTGACCTCTTGATTGCAACTCTGCATTGTTACCTGCACAAACATGCAACAGGCGCTGCGGGCATAATCCAATTGCACATATTGCCACAGCTTCACAGCTGTCTGTGCCGTGGCCTGGTCGCGCCACGCGGCGCTTGCACCACATGCTGCCAACTGAACTGGAAACAGAAGCCGGCATGACCCGACGACCCCACAACCACAACACCGCAAAACACCTACACGCATTCAGGCCGCCATACGCCAGCCACGGCGTCCCCGGGCACCCCCGGCTCGCCAGCTCAGCGGCAGGGGGCGCTGGCGGACACCCCGAGCGTAGGCGCGGGCATGGAGCTCAGCACCGCAGACCTCACACCCCTGCCCGACCCCGAGGCCGCGCTCAAGTGCGGCGCAGCGCGGAACGGCAGGCAATCTCATTACATGCGCATGCAGCATTCACCAGGCAAACCATCCAGCCATGGGCTCGCGGCCCAGGCGCGCCGCCGGACGCTCCAAGGGCCGCCCTGCCTGCCGCCAGGCACCTGCACGCCGGGCCGCATTCAACCCCCAACACCCTGACTCCGCCCTGCCCGCGCGCCGCGCCGCGCCGCTCCCGCTCCCCAGGCGCGTTCTCTCCAAGATGCTGTCCTGCAACGCCGCCGCGCGCAAGGAGCTCGACTGGGTCGGCCAGACAGAGGCCGTCAACGACGCGCGCCGCCTGGTGGCGCACCACGCCGACCTGCTGACCCCTGGCTCCCTCCACGAACTCTGCCAGGCAGCCGGCCCCGCGGTCGAGCAGCTGCGCAGCTGCACGGCGCGCGCGGCGATGCAGCTGTTTGGGGAGGCGTTTGCCGCGCTGGGGGCGCGGGCGGACAGGGAGTTGGAGGACGTCGTGCCGCTGCTGGTCAAGAAAGCGGGGGAGGTGTCGACCGCAGGTGCGGAGGCTTTGATCTGACGGTCCCGCCCGCAGCCGGCACCGCGCGGTCGTGGCGCGGCTCGAGGCGGGCGACCAGCCCTCGAGCACAGACGCGAGCGATCTGCCCCGATGCGCCGCGTGTGTCGGTGTGTCAGGACTGGACTGCCGCCGATCGCAAACTTGCCTCTGCTGTGACTCAATCTTCATACCGACCATTTACCTCCTGACCTGTTGACAATCCTGCCCAGGGCGCGACAACTTCCTGGGCCAGGAGGCGGACCGGGCGCTGGCCGCCATGTGCCGCTCCTGCACCGAGGCGCGCGCGCTCGCCGCGCTGCTCAACTGCACTGGCGCGCGCGCGACCGCGGCGCGCAGCAAGGTGGCGGCGCACCTGGACTCTATGCTGGATGGCGGCGGCTGCAGGTGGGGCGCGGGCGGATACTTCAGCCCGACGGGCGGCAGCTGCACGGGCGGCCGTCGCGGAGCGGTCGGCGGCGGCCCTGCCTTGCAAGGGGGCCGGCGGCCCCCCACAGTCTCTGGAGACCGTCTCCAGCGGCAAAGCGTCTGCGCCTGCAGGGTCTTGCATGTCCTCTCAAATACGCCGTTGGCCGCCCTGTTGCCAAGCCAAGCCGAGCTTCCTCACACCTTCCCTTCCATTTCTCCTCCTCACCAAATTTCCGGCCTCACATTTGCCCGGCTCAAAACGCCCGCGCGCCTCCCCGACTTCCAGGTCCACCCTGCTCGCCAACTGGCAGCTGCTAGACCGCCTCTTCCGCGCCGCCGCCGCGTTTCTAGAGGAGGGCTCCCTCGAGTGCCGCACCCACGGCAAGCGGCTGCTATGGGAGCTCCGGTCTGCCGCGCCCGCGCGCCCGGACTGGGAGCGGCTGCTGTCCGGACTGCGGCCAGAGGCGCTGCAGCGGAAGGTGCTGGAGGTGCTTGACGCGCCGGGCGGGCCGCCGCCGCCGCCGTCGCGGGGGCGGATGGGTGAGTCATCAATCGGGCCTGGTCCGGTCGCTGCCCCTACAGGAAGCATGCAACAAACAAGTGAACGAAAGCAAAAACCTGGGCCTTGCCTGGATTGCACGGTTTGCTGCCGCACCTTTTTACTCAGCAGGTCGGCAGGGATGACATCGGGTTATCACACCCTCGCCTGATGACGCATTCGTTTCTTGATGCCGTCTTTCGCAGGCTCGCGCCTGGCATCCAGGGGCAGCCCAGCCCCGGGGTCGCCCTCATCGCCCGCCACCCCAGCCAGCCCGCCCCCCTCTGGCGGCAGCGGCCGCGCCGCTGCGCCCGTGCGGGCGCTCTTCGCAAACGGCAGCGGCGGCCGCGGCGCCGGCGGCCTGGCGGGCGGCGCGCCGCAGGCGGCGGCCGCAGACGGCTGGGGCGGAGGCGGGCCGGGAGCGCTGTCGACTGTTGACAAAATCGCCGGCAGCGTCACCACCGCCCTGCGTTTCCGCAACCTCAGCCCCCGCGGCACCAAGGCCGCAGCGAAGGCGGCGCCGCCGCCGCCGCCGCAGGCGCAGCAGCGCGGCGCGCCGCCCCAGCGGCGGCAGCAGCAGCAGCAGCAGGAGCAGGCGGTAGCGCCAGCCGCGCCCCTTGAGATGTCGTCGGAATTGCAAGAGGCGGTGGATCAGGTGATCGCCCACATGGCGTCCAAGGACTGGCGGGAGCGCGTGGACGCGCTGAGGGCGCTGTCGGCGCTGTCGCCGGCGGCGCCGGCGCTGACGGACGTGGCGCTCGAGGCGCTGCTTGGCGCGGTGGGGCCGCGGCTGGGGGACGGGAACGCCAAGGTGCACCAGCAGGCGTTGGAGGTGAGGCTGGGGCGTGAGTGTGGGGTTTGTGGGGGCACAGCAAATGGGTGTGCTGCTCGGCTGGCAAGGACAGAGTGTTTGAGGGGACAGATTGAGAGGGTTATTGCAAGATGCCAGACCGGAGCAGCTGGAAGGGTCGAGGCCAAATCGGTCGCAGCCGCGGCGGCGCCGACCAATCCCGCCC